TACAAACTCACAAAAGGACCTATGAACTGCTTCAGATGGAAGATAGTGAAAGCATATCTGATTTCCTCACTAGAGTTACAAAACTAGTAAATTAAATCAAGATATATGGAGAAGCGTTAACAACAAGAGCTATTGTATCGAAGATCTTGAGATCTTTAGCTCCTAAGTTCGACCATATAGTGGTGGCGATAGAAGAGGGGAAAGACTTGTCGAAATTGACAAAGGAAGAGCTTCAAGGGACGCTTGAATCTCATGAACAAAGAATGAACGAAAGAGCTGCAGTAAAATCGAAGATTGATGTAGCCTTGCAGGCACATTCAGCAAAAGAGACCAAAGGCAAAGGAAAGTGTTTCGACAGAGGTTGAGGTGGCTACAACAAATCGAATGATAGAGGAAACCAGATTGAAGGAAACGTGTCGAATCAAAGAAGATCATACCAAGGAAACCAAAGAGGTGGTGTTGCAAATAGAGGAAGAGGTGGTGGTCGAAAACCTGATAAGAGTCACATTCAATGTTACAATTGTCAGAAGTATGGTCACTATTTGAGTGATTGTCCAGAAAAATGAAAGAATCAAGAAAGTGATGCAAAGCTTGCAAAACATGAAGAAGAAGAAGAGATGATACTGATGGTCACAACAAGAGATGAAGATAGATTCAAGGACCAATGGTACTTGGATTCAGGATGTTCATCACATATGTCTGGAAGGAAAGACTGGTTCGTCAATATAAAACCCTCAATGAAAAATATGGTAAAATTTGCAAATGACAATACCCTAGCAGCTGAAGGTATTGGTGATGTTATGATTATGAGGAAAGATGGCAAAAGGTCAGTAATCTCCAATGTGTTGTACATACCAGGCATGAAGAGCAATTTGCTCAATATAGGGAAGTTAGTCGAAAAGAATTATAAAGTGTCAATCGAAGATAAGATGATGAGAGTCGTTGATGCAAATGGGAGATTAATCTTGAAGGCTCCTATGTCTCAGAATCGAACCTTCAAGATTGAACTAAATGTGATGGAACACAAGTGCCTTTCGACTGCAGCTAGCAGAGATGAATGGATATGGCATTATAGACTAGGTCATCTCAACTTCAGAGACACCGGAGATTTGAAGAGAAGAAATATGGTTTCAGGATTGCCATAAATTAACATTCCAAACGAGGTATGTGAAGAATGTGTGCAGGCGAAGCAACACAAGAATAGCTTCAGCAAGGATGCAGGAAGCAGATCGAAGGCTAGTCTTGAAGTCATATACTCTGATGTATATGGACCAATCCAGGTGGATTCGATGGGAGGTAACAAATACTTTGTTACATTCATAGATGATTTCAGTCGAAAGCTATGGACTTACCTGATCAAGAAGAAAAGTGAAGTGATCGAAGTATTTACCAAGTTTAAGTCTATGGTCGAAAGACAAAGTGGTCGAAACCTCAAAGTTTTGAGGACTGATGGTGGTGGAGAATATGTGTCGAAAGACTTCGACAGATCATGTTAAAAGGAAGGGATTGTGCATGAGGTGGTGCCACCCTATACTCCACAAAAAAATAGAATTGCAGAAAGGAAAAATTGAACCATCATGAATATGGTGAGAAGTATGTTGAAAGGCAAGAATTTACCTAAAGAGTTTTGGGGTGAAGTTGTTTCAACTGCAACATACATTTTGAACAGATGTCCTACAAAGAAGCTAGAAGGAATTACTCCAGAAGAATGTTGGTATGGTGTGAAGCCTAGCTTGAGTCATCTGAAGGTATTTGGATCTATGGCACATAGACATGTGCCAGATCAATTGAGAAGAAAACTTGATGATAAGTCAAGTCAAATGATTCTAGTTGAATATCATTCGGTATGAGGCTACAAGTTGTTCGATCCAGTGAAAAAGCAGATTGTGATCAGCAGGGACGTGATCATAGATGAGTTTAAAGAATGAGATTGGACTGAAAATATCAAGAAAAATTCTGTGGGAATCCTTCTTGAAGAGTCAGAAACTCAAGTCGAAAGAGAAGTTCGACAAGAGGAACCAACAAATATACCAAGTACAAGTAGGCCTCGAAGAACAAGACGCATGCCTGCAAGATTGCAAAATTGTGTGATTACATCAGATGATGTAATAGATAATGAAGGTGAGCTGGTACATTATGCTTTCTATGCAGATGTCGAACCTGTTAATGCATCTGAAGCATTAAAGGATTCGAAGTGGGTGAAAGCAATAAACGAAGAAGTAAAGTCTATCGAAGACAACAACACTTGGTCACTTGTCGAATTGCCTCAAGGCAAGAAGGCAATTGATGTCAAGTGGGTATACAAAGTGAAAACGAATTCGAAAGGTGAAGTAACTCGACACAAAGCAAGACTTGTGGCGAAAGGATTTCTACAGAAAGAAGGAATAGACTTCGATGAAGTTTTTGCACCAGTTGCTTGGAATTCAAGAAAGGAACCAGTAGTGGCATTATCATCATGCGAAGCAGAATACATAGCTGCTTCTCTTTGTGCATGTCAAGCAACTTGGATGGTGAACTTGGTCGAAGAGATAACAGGGAAAAATCATGGAGCAATTACCATGAAGATAGACAGCATGTCAGCTATTAATCTGGCGAAGAACTCAATAGCACATGGTCGAAGTAAGCACATCGAAATGAGGTTCCATTATCTTCGAGAACATGTAGTAGATGAGAAGATGAATTTGGAACACTGCAGAACTGAGAATCAGATTGCAGACATCATGACGAAGGGAGTGCAAGTCGAAGTATTCAGAAAGCTAAGAGCCATGATGAACATAAATAGTTTAGACACAATGAATTAGGTGGTGTGTTAAATTGTAATCCAATGTGTCGAAACTATGTGTCGAAAAGATTTGATTTGTTTTAGATTTAAATAGATTTTATTTAAGTCTAGAATAAATTAGATTTGATTTAGTAACAAAAAGATATTTTGGGCTTTGGGCTTAGGGTGTAAGCTCAGTTATAAATAGAGGGAGTAACCCCTATTTTTGTAAGCAAGTCAAACAAGTCATTCACAGTATTTTACAGTTGCGAAGTGAATAATAAAGTTTTCACAGTTTGTGAGCAGAGAGAAACTTTGCGGAAATTATTTGTCTTGTCTTCTTTTCTTTGTTTGTCTCATAATTAAATTGTCATTGTGGTAGAAATTCATCATAGAATTTGGTGGATTTCTAACATAATTATGTGTTCATCCATTCACATGATGTTAATCTTTGAAAAACACAAAATATATTAAATGATAGAAAATATTATATAAATATAATTTAGTATGATCTGAAATTGTAAAAATTATGAAAAGAATAAAAATAATAAAGAGAATGATAAAGGAGATGAGACAACATGATTTAAGAATATCGTAATTATGTGTTCCTCCATATTCACTTGACGTTAATTCCTAAAAAATAAAATATATAAAAGGATTCCTCCACTCACTTGATGTTAATTTCTGAAAAATAAAATAAATATTTAAATTATGAAAATGAATGGTTTTAATTAATAATAAATAAAATAAATAATAAATATTAATAAAATAAATTGTAAAGATGAACCATGATAAAAAGTGCTTAAATTTTGAGATATTGAAATGATAGTTTTTCAAATCTACAATTTTAAAAAATAAATAATTTCGCTATAATTTTAGAAAATTAATAAATAAATCAATCCTTAAATTATGAGAATGAGTGGTTTTAGTTAATAATAAATAAAATGGAAAATTGATCTTTAAATTATGGGAATGAATAGTTTTCCTTAATAATAAATAAATAAATAATAAATTAAAAAATTAATGTTAATAATTATTAAATTAACTTTAATTTTGACTTCAAAATTTTTTTAAAAAAAGTTAACAATTTTAATTAGTAACATAATTAAATATTTCGAAGAACTCTCAACCCTCATATATTCTGAAAGACCCATAAAATCGAATTAGAATGTTAAAGAATATTATGAATTTTAAAATTTTAATTAAAGTTTTTGTTATCTAATAGATCAATACAAACGAAATCTCAACCTAAATGACCAATCAAGTAATATACATATATATATATATATATATATATATATATATATATATATATATATATATATATATATATATATATATATATATATATATATATATATATATATATATATATATATATATATATATATATATATATATATTTGATTATGAAGTGATAAAATTGTTTAATAAATGCTTATATATTAAAAATAATTTTTAATAGTAAAATAAAATTAATTAATAAAATATAAAAAATTGGTCAATAAAGTGATAAAGTTGGTTAATAAACACTCATATATTAAAAATAATTTTTAATAATAAAATAAAATTGATTAGTAGAATATAAAATATTGTTAATGAAATTATGAAGTTTGTTAATCATTTAATTTTATATTGATATTCCCTAATAAAAAAATTAGAATAAAAAAATAAACAAAAAAATATTTTATATATATTATATTATTAAAATATTATATTATTAAAATATTTGACAGTTTTGACAGTTGATTATATTGATAAACGGTGAAATAGAGGGTAGTGTAGTGTAGTGTATGATATGACGTAGGAATATGATTTGTGAAGTTCAAAAGGAGGTATGAGCCATAATACAGTATATTCCTATGAATCCTTGAATAATCTTATTTAGTGTAGCATAGATATTTTGATAACAGGGAGAGGATATTTTGATGACAATGTTGGTTTTGAGCCAAGTGTTGCTCTTTTAACTATCACTCATATAAACACACTTTCTCTTTCTCAAGTTTGTTTTTCTCTTTCAAAATAATTCATAACCATCGACAAAGCCTACAATAAGTAACCAACCACCTGGCTTCTTATACTTGTAAAATATCCAAACTCACTCACACACTCACTCTCACTGTTGCTACCTCTTTCCTTCAACTATGTTTCCTTATATATATAACACCTTACTCTTAACTCTCTCTTCAATTCCAACTTCCCTTTCAAAACCTTTTTCCACTCTCTCCAACACACACAGATGTTTACTAGTAACAGCTCTTCCAATTCAAACCCCATTTCCGATGAGGTTATTAGGTTAGCCACGAGTTACCCGAAGAAGCCTGCAGGGAGGAAGAAATTCAAGGAGACTCGCCACCCGGTGTATAGGGGTGTGAGAAAGAGGAACCTAGATAAATGGGTGTGCGAAATGAGAGAGCCGTACAAGAAGACTAGGATTTGGCTAGGGACTTTTCCAACCCCCGAGATGGCTGCCCGTGCTCACGATGTTGCTGCATTGGCGCTTAGGGGCCGCTACGCCTGTCTCAATTTCGCCGATTCTGTATGGAGGCTACCGATTCCTGCAACCACTGACACAAAAGATATACAAAAGGCGGCTACTCAAGCAGCCGAGGCTTTCAGACCAGACAAGATTATAATGACTAAAAATGTTGACAAAGTTGTAGCCGTCGTGGCCACGGAAGAGCTGAGTATGTTTTGCGTGGAAGTGGAAGAAGAGGAAGAAGAAGCATTGAATCTGCCAGATATGTGGAGGAATATGGCTCTAATGTCCCCTACACATAGTTTTGGGGATCATGAGTATGAACATATTAATGTACAAGACTTTCAAGATCAAGATGAAGAGGTATCACTATGGAACTACTAAATTTCTTGTGTTTGGCTTACTTCTACTTTCGGATTCTAGAATTGAAGATGTCTTTTGTTTACTACAACCATTTTTATTTCTAGTGAGGATATTGTATTTCTAAGCATTATTTAAATTTTCTTCCTCTTTCAAATGAAAAGGATTTTCTTTTTTGACCATTTTTAGGTGAATGTAATCAATAAGAGAGCTATAATATCAAGGATTGTGACCGTTACTTGGAAAACGGATATGCCGTCCATTTAGACCTGTCCTGCACAACATTGAAGGTACGAATTTAAAACATTTCCCAGTCTTCAAAAACTTAAAACATTGGCCATTCTACAAGAAAAAAAAAAAGGTGGAGTGGATTTGCTGACATTGCAACTCTAAACTAAAAAAAATTGCAAAAATTTATGTTTGCGTCTGACCGCCTATAAAAATTCGAAAAATTATTCGAATTGATAAGGTGCTGACAAAAGAGACATGTTCAAGGGATTTTTTTACAAACTGACAATTAAAGCTTATAGCAGAACCAATGACTTCATTCATAATTCCAATGATTAGGAATATTAATCCATAACTTCAAAGTCTTATGCACCAGGATTGAACCTTATAAGCAGGCACCATTTCTTTTACTAAACTCCATAATACCAAAACATTCAATTTTCAAAGAGGAATAGTTCGTCGGGAAAGGTCTCTTATGAAAGAGCTGGTGGGTGGAGCTGTTCAATCTAACAGATCTCATCCATTTTTTGGTTTGAAATAATTAAAAACATGAATGCATAACAAGTGAGCAAAAAATATTTGGTTCTGAATTCCGATGTTTGGACCACATTAAGCATGATGAATGAGCTATGAATTGTTTTAATCTTAAAACATGAACCCATAAGCATTGTATTAAATTTTGCTGGAAATTTGCTACAACATAGAACACAACAGACGCGTAACACAACTACTATCATTTAGAAACAATACCTGATTTCTAAAAGAGGTCAGGAAAATGGTTTTAAATTGTAGTATGCAACTATAATTGCTGATGTGGTAGTTTATGTTAGTGTTTTAAAAAATGGTCCGCGATTGTAAAAATGGCCGTGATAAAACGGTATTAATAGAAACCGATACCTTTATCATCATTTTTATGTTAAAGAATAAATTATGGTTAATTCACACTGTCACGATCGTAATTAATATCGTGACACATGTACCGATCAAAATCGTGAAAGCCTTTACGCGATTGGTTTTTAAAACCCGTCTTTACAATTGCATTAGGTCGCAATTGCAGTGTGATTTGAAATCAATCATTCTTTTATTTTAGCAACCGCGTCTCTGCAATTGCATTGGGTCGCAATTGCATCGTAATTTGAAATCAGACATCCTTTTATATTATGAACCACATCAAATAACTTTTCCCGTATTCCTTCAAATATTTTCGTCAAAACTCAAAATTTAGAATCACAAAACTTAATTTTCTTTTGAAATTTTTAAATATATTTCAAACTCTTTTCAATCAAAATTCATGCCACAACGTCTACAATATGTATAGCAACAATTACAATGATCATAATCACAACATCCGCAATCGCATTCACGGTTACAACCACAGTTTAAAATTATGATTTAGACTTTCAAATCTTTCAAATTTTCCATTTCTTGATTAGCAGAAAATTAATATAATCATAAGAATGACTCAAAAGAATTCACACAGCATATTCATTCATATATGGCAGAAAAGAAATCATTAGGAAGATTGGATAATCAGCTATAGTCTTACTTTAAATGATAATGAATTTCTCTTTCTTTTTTTTAAATCTCGTTTCAAATGAGTTAAGTCTCATTTTAGCTAATGATAATTCTTGAGCCTCATTCCCTAAATATCTTAGAGTGTGTTGTTAGATTTTTTTTCAATTTTCTTTGGCCTTTAAACCATCAATTGAACAAAAAAATCAATATAATTGAACATAAGCAATGCTCAATGTTGCTTGCAAATGAAGTAACATATTTTCCTCTATTCCCTCATGTCACTCATAGACAATTCTACAAACACATAATGAGGTCTTACACACAACACCATATGATTAAAGTGTTCTTCACTACCTTCCATCAATTATAAAACACATATAAAGAGAACACGTCAATTCATTTCTATATAATATCAAACTTTACTAATCAAAGAAAGACCTAATGAGAAAAGTAAGTCAAATGACAAATACTTAGACAAAAACACAAAACAATAAGTTCTTGCTGCTCTAGCAACAAAATTGACCGAACACTACTGTAAAATATAACTTTGGTAACACTATACTACCACGCCCGTTTAAACAACCGTAATAATAACTCATTTTCGCGCACCTAAATTTTTTAATATTTTATTAAAATATATTTCATCACGGTTCTTAATAATAACTATTGTGATAGATGAAATGTTACTTGTTTCGATTTCCAGCATCAATAATTTTTCTTCTTTTCGTTAAAAAAAAGACTTGTCCTTATACTCTTATAAATATAATAAAATTAAAATACTTATTACCACGGTTATTATAAGAAACCATTGTGAATAATACTTACATTTTGTCACAGTTTTTATTAACAACCGTGGTGATAAGTTATATATATATATATATATATATATATATATATATATATATATATATATATATATATATATATATATATATATATATATATATATATATATATATATATATATATATATATATAAAAGTAAAATTATCAAGCTTCAGCATAGAATAACCATCACTCTCGAAACGAAACTCTAACATCTCTCTCTTCCACATGCAAGGAACTCATCCTATAAACTTCTTCAAACTAAAAGGTAATCAAATTCATATGATTTCTTTCATTCCGTAGTAGAAAATTCAGAAGTGGGCGTCCTATCACAACGGTTGAGCCAACAAATTGTTGATATACATAAAGGTCCTAGGTTTAATTCTCAGCAATGTTTTGATGAAGTAATAAATTTAATCTTGCTTTCATAATTTTTTAACCTGTATTTTGGTGGATCATATCACAGTCGAACAAACAATCACAACAGAACAAACAATTTGCATTTATGATATAATTATAATTATAATTATAATTATAATTATAATTATATCATAATAACAATAAAAATTGGTTTAAGAACCAAAAATTGTATATTACTTCAAAATCGAAATGTCACAATTAAAACAACCTATAATTTACACATTACATAACATCACATAATTGTATATTGGTGTTTTGGTTTCATGTCTCTATGTGTCTTGTCTCTTGGTGTCTTGACATATAAATACCTATGATTTCAAATAATCATACTTGCATTAGTAAAAATATGTAGAAATTATAACATACAACTAATATATTATGAATTAAGAATAAAACAGTTACTTGTTAATTTTTCCATATGCCTTCTTCATGATCGATTCGAATAACATGCACAACATCTCCACAACTTTATCATATGAGGTAGAAACTTGTGTTGTGTAAGAAGGAGTGGACGGAATATCAAGACTTTCATCACTAAGAGGAATGTGTTTTCTTTGGAGAACGATTGACTATTTCCCTGATATGTCTGAAGAGTCAGTCACATAGAAAATTTGTTTTGCTTGAAAAGCCATGATGAATAGTTTGGTCATAAAAGATGTCTTGCCAAGGTCAACACGTGTGAATCCTAAGTCATCAATGTGTATACCATTACTATTATTGGGAATCCACTTGCATTTAAATAAAGGCACTTTAAAAATAACATAATCAATCTCCTAAATATCCTCAAAGACACCATAGAATGCGGTAGTTGCCAATACAAGATTCTTATCTTTCGAACTAGAGAAATATATCGATTTGGCTTCAACCATAACCCCACTATTTTGCATTTTACTACGATCATCTTTTGATTTTATATAAATGGTATAATGACTAATATCGTATACAGTCCAAGTTATGACATTAAATTTTGACTCGTATGACAACCACTTAAGTATCTCGGAGGCACTATGATCATTAAATACCCTTTTATTAAATCAATCTATGAATCTCTTGTTATGCTCTACCAACAACAACTTGTCGCTCATTCGGGGATATTTTTTCTTCAAACGTATTTTGTAAGTATCTATGTAAGGTTGCACTTCATCAATATTATTCAATATATAGAAATGAGCTTGAATAACTACGTCCCAAGCCATTGACGTAACATTTAGACCCGGAATACCTCTTCCGTCTGTGTGATCAGCATGATAAGACTTTGGAATGCCTATAGAATCAGCTTCCGAAAAATTATTTGTACAAAACTCAACAACTTCTTCAGTGATGTACCTTTCAACAATCGAAGCTTCTGGTCAGTGGTGATTCTTTGTATATTCTTTAAATATCTTCATTATCGCTCTATTTGATACATCCACCTTAAATAAATTGGACCGTAAAATATAATTTCTCTGATTAGATGAACAAGTAAGTGAACTTTAATGTCTAAAAATGGTGGAGGAAAATACATCTCCAATTGACACAAGATTATGGCAATCTCATCTTCTAATTCATATAATTTTTTGAAATCAAGAACTTTATTACATATGAAATTAAAGAATAAGAATAATCTAGTTATATTTACTCTCACATTTTTTGATAGGATCCCACGAATAGCCACTGGTAGAAGTTGTTGCATCAATACATGACAATCATGAAATTTCAAACCAATTAACTTGAGATCTTTCACTGATACAAGTTTCTTGATGTTTAATGAGTAACCTTGGGGAACTTTGATACCATGCAAGCACTCGTAGAAAATTTTCTTTTCTTTTTTAAATAGAGTGTGGCATGCTGGAGGCAGATAGGTTCTATTTCCTCTATCTATCGGAGCCAACTATTTTCGTATACCCATCGCCTCCATATTGAGATAGGAAGTCTTACTATCTTTAGTCTTGCCTGGAATGTTTAGAAGTGTTCCAATCAAACTACCACACACATTTTTCTCAACGTGCATCACATCATCAAGACAATGTCTAACATCAAGACTTGACCAATATGGA